TGTGTTGATAGGGGCGTTAAACCTATGACATTTCACTATTTCACCATGTCACTACCTTAGAATGACAAAGTTCTCTCTGATATCTGAGGCCATTTTGAGTTACAGAGACCAATTGCGCTAGAATCTATCTGCTCTATCAAAATACAATGTAGTAAGATTTTTCAGAGTTGTTATAAATTATATCTAAAGAATTGCATACAAAAGGCTCGACATGTTGTGAAACTCGAACAATTTTACGTCAAATTTCTCAAAACTAGGTACAGGGCAAATAGAACGCTGTAATTCTGAGGTAGCGATGCATCTGAGTTCATTGGGGACGCGACCATTGTCCTTATCTCAGACAACATGTAGGCCTAGGTGGTATAAGTGTCCTACTATTTACATCTCTTGTTGTCTAAATCCTTTTCACCGGTGTATGCGGTGAAGTGATTAGGCACTTTCCTGTCGTACACAGAAGACGTGAGTCGATTCTTGTTTGGGGAGGTTTTTGTTTGTTCTGGGAGGAAGGGGGGGGGGGTGTTGTTAGGTCGTTGTTGGGTTTGGGTTGTTTTTTTCGGTAGCTTATCTCCGTCTGTCTGCTGGGACGCTGTACAATGTATCCCTCTCGGCCCAAATTGGCCCTGAGAGGCAGGTCGAGGCAATCCGCCTCCTATATGATCTAAATAGTGTCAATGGGAACGTAAAACATTAAACATCTGCAATGTCTTTGTTGGTCCTTTTTGTTCTACATATTTGTTTTACTTTCCATCACTTCAAACGTTTTGCAATTGTTTGTTCTTAACACGTCGGTTCGGAATAATACAATATTATGGTAGTCTACAGCAGGCACCATGATTAGGCGTATTGTTTTTTCTTGAGAAAGGTGTGCCCCTCAAGGAAAATACACATAATTAAGAGGATGGAATGATATCTGTTATAGCTGTCGCCTGACTCCGGCGCGTCCAACAAGTTTCTCCTGGACCTGTACATTCAACTATTTAAGGCCGAACATAATTATTATACTAAGCCTGGTTTGAATACAACGAACTGACGGACAAAATGCAGCGTGCCGAGGTTACTAATAATATAACAAAGAGTTGACAGATGTAACTACTATACCTAGTCCAACTTGCAGATTGTCTGAAGACGGCCAGATTCGATTGTCGCAAGCAGGACGGCGGATCCTAGACAGGAAATAATTGGTCAACGCTCTGGCCGGGACAGGAAAAATCAAAATCTTAAATGTCAAAAATTGAATCAAATCGCATTTTTAAGGTTAGATTTGAGCTCAACGAACTCGAAATATTCCTGAGTTTGAGTGATTAACGATTTCCAGCGTATTTATGATTTTTTTGTTTTTTTCATTATTTACAAGTCAGGTAGGCACGTGGGTATCGCCATCTTTTTTAGAAAATACAGCAGCAATGCTAATGTTGTTTCCTAGACAGCGCCATCGTATCAAATTGAGGTCAATCCCAGAAGTCGACGAAAGACGGGTGCAGTATATAGTTATGCTTTTGTATCCTTCTACCGCTTTCAATTTGCAGACACCAGGCGAATGGATTTAGGCCTAGAATAATAGAGCAGTATCTAGTATATTTTCGGTCTGCCTTAAGCTCCCATCAACTACACGATTTAGATCAATTGGAACGCTCTGTCTGTCATGACCAACACGGGCCGAGTCATTTCATTGGACAGAAAAAAGGGGACCTGATTAAAAAGTCCCCACCTAGGAATCGAACCCGCACCTCCTGCGTGCAATGGCAAAGGGTCTATCCACTACACCACATCGGACCAGCCACTGTCACATCACATGAATTACCTTGGAAAGAAATGCAGCTGGTAATGATTTACGAAGACGTGAGTTCGATTCCCATATGGGAAGGAGGATTATCGAATATCTTCTTTTATCTGCAGAGCAGAGACGTTGTATACAGTAAGAATGCGTACCAAGTGAATACGCGTAATCACTGAATATTTTAGTGAATACTCGTAATCCCTGTTTCACTCGGGGCTTTCATGTAATCACTGAAATTTCTAGTGATTACGCGAAATCCCTAAAATTAGACCTATCTTTTTACGTGTTTTTACTACATATGT